CCCCCCCCCCCCCCCCCCCCCCCCCCCCCCCCCCCCCCCCCCGTCCTAGCTGCTCTTGGCTGCTGTCACCAGGCTCCTTGGATGCCCCTTTCTTTGTGTTCAGGATGTGGGGGAGACAGCCCCACTTTTCACTCAGAAATGTGAGTAAAGACTAAGAGCTCCTCCAGACCAGCCAAGGACTGGATGGTGAAACTACAGCTCAACCAAACAGAAAGAAATAAAGAAGCCAGGCCAGCCTGGTGTGAAGCTGAGCCGAGAATGAGGCCCAGATATCTCCTTTGGGGACAATCAGGAGATGGCCCACTACTTAGCCTCAGAGATACCCCCAAGCTGCCAGGAACTATCAGAGTGGCCAGTGAGGCCCAGAGAGACAGGCTAGTGAGCTAGCTGTGGGCGTGAGTGGGGCTAGAGCATTTCCAGTGTTGTGGACCACCTCAGCAAGTGAAGTGAGAGCCATGCTGAGGGTGCCTGGCTGTGTGCGGCCACATGGCCCTGCAGCTTGTGAGACATGGGGCTCCCTGAAGCATGATGGTGGCCACACTCCCAGGGCTGTCTGTGGCAGGAACCCACGCAGTGTGCCACCGGTTGCTTGGCTGCCCTCCTTTACCACTTTCCCTTCTTGAACACTGAGTGCAGGTCCAGCCATCCCCACTCCCCGCGTCCTGCCTATGGTTGGGGTTGGCCATCAGAGCCAGTGGTGAACACTGGTCAATGTCTGGAGAAAGCCCAGCAGAGCCTAGCCTGGGTCTTGGTGAGGGTGGCCCGACCATCGCTGCATGGCCAGGGCTCTCCTACTGTGAGCATCTGCTCTCTCACTCCCTCCAGCAGCAGGGAGGGGTCTTAACGTGCTTTCTGTTGCCGCAGTAAATGCCGTGACTCACAGCAGCTTGGGGTGGAAGGCTTATTTGTCTAATCCTTTCCAGCGGCACTTCATCACGGAGGGAAGTCAGGGCAGAGGCTGGAGTGGAGACCTCTGACGGCTCCTCAGGGCTTGCTCAGCTTGCTTTCTTAGAGAACCCAGGACCACCTGCCCAGCATGTCCTCCCACACCTCCCCAGTGATCTGGGCCCTCTCACATCAGTCATAATCAAAACACTGCCCCACAGGCCAGTCTGATGGAAGCATTTCCTCAGCTGAGTTGGCTCATGCCAGGGACTGTAGGTCTGTCAGATTGACAGCGGAAGCTAATTGTGACAGTATGGAGCTATATATCCTTGGGGACACACAGACCTTATGTGTGCTTGACTTGGGTTCTTCCCACCAGGCTGCGGGCCCAAGAAAGATAGGATCCCGGTTAGGCCTGTGTTCCCAGCTCCATGAGGGACTTGAAAGGAGTAAGCGCCACTCGGGTCCCCGGTATTCCATGGAAATCAGCACATTCTCCCTTTTGGACATTTGGGTGCTGCTCTCTTTTGGAGGGGGCCTTGTTTCGAGACAGGGTTTCTCTGTGTCCTAGACTCAATTTGTAGACCAGGCTGGCCTCACAAAGATCCATCTACCTTTGCCTCCCTGAGTGCTGGGATTAAAGGCATGTCTCTCTGTCCCAAGCATACAACCCGTTCCATGTCCCCTGACCTGTCCTGTCTTAGACACTGCAAGCATGTGAGGTGAAGTTAGTCCACGGGCTGCTGTGTGTTTCCCCCCTCAGGACTACTAGAAGCCAGGACACCCCAAGTGGCAAGGTGACCGAGAGCCAGCAGGGGTACCTTCCAGCTGGCATCACAGCTCTGCCCTGCGGAGCTTGGCACTCCAGCCAGCATAACCGCTTGGTGCAGACACACAGAAGCTAGCAAGGGACAGCTGTGTTATCCCTGGCCCAGTGCCCCTATGGCCTCCTTATTGGGCCACTGGCCTTGCTCTGCCCACAGCCACTCTGTCACCCCAGATGCCATGGCTCTGACCTTCTGCTTATTGAGATTGTGCCATACATCTCAGCCACCTCTGGAGCCAGAGAACTAAGGCTGAGGCTGATGACATGCCTGAGCTTGAACTGGGGCATTGGGGCCTCTGGCACAGCAAGATGAGCTCTGTGTCATTAGCCACCACAGCGCTCTGATGATGACGGGCCATTTCAGGGAATCTGGTGCACACGGCAGGGTGCAGCTCTGAGTCACAGCCTGTGCCCATTAGCTCGATGAGCCATCCTGCTCGTGTCCTTTCCACAGCTGGGCCCTGCCAAAGAGGCCGCTGTAGCAGGCCCTGCCTTGCAGCTCTGTCCCCAGGATCCAAGGATCAGAGCAGCTAGGACACTCAGGCATGCTGGGGCTCACTCAGGGCCTCAACTGCTGCCGCCTGCCTTTCTGTCGTCACTTAGCATTTCCTTCTGGATTGCAGAGCTCGCTAAGCACTGCTGAGCAGGAAGGCGTCTGTGTTCTTTGCCTAAACAGAGCCATTAACCTGCAGTGGGTGTGGGACATCTCCACACACACAAGATTTGGGAAGCTGGAACTGAGCTGGGCTCTTTGGCCAACTGCTGAGCTGGGGGTATGGCTTGTGGATTTGTCTCTTTGGTTATTACATGGCCTACTTTTTTGGTTGGGGTTTCCTCTCCCTTCCTCCTTCCTCTTTCCTCCCTCTGTTTATCCCCCTCCTCCTTGCCCTTATTCTTGTCCTCCCTCTTCCCATTCCTGCCTCCTTTGCCTGTTTATCTGTTGATGATGAGCCAATACTGTCGCTTTTCCATGAGTGATTGTGTATCATAGGGCCTGTCTGCTGTGGGTCCTGCCTGGCATGGACCATGTCCTCTTGTAGATTTCTCACTGCTCTGCAGTCTTCCTGGCTCCTGGACTGCATCCAGAGTTGTCAAGTGTCCTCAGATCCTTTGGGCCGGCCTGTCATCTGACTCCCATTCCCCTTCTGCTGGACGGCCTTGGTGATGTGGAGTGCAGTGTCTTGTGGACACCTCTATCACAGGCCGGCCGGCTGATGTTGACCTTGACTA